GGGGTGCGGGGATGCGGGGTGTCACGGGGACGTGGGGTCTCACAGGGGCGTGGGATCAGGGGACATGGGGATGGGGCACACAGAGTGATGGGCACGTGGGGATGGAGGACGTGGGGACTGGGAGACATGAGGACAGAGGGAGGGGACGCAGGGGCGTCATGGGTGCATGGGGATGTGGGGCTGGGGGACATGGGGACAGGGACAGGGGACACAGGGACATCATGGGAGCATGGGGATGTGGGGAGTCACAGGGATGTGGGGCTGGGGGACATGGGGACAGAGGGACACGGGGACAGAAGGAGGGGACACAGGGACGTCATGGGTGCATGGGGACGTGGGGAGTCACAGGGACATGGGAGTGGGGGACATGGGGCACACAGGAGTGATGGGCACTTGGTGGGGCACGTGGGGGCAACGACAGATGCAGGGACATGGGGACACGGGGACACAGGGGACAAGTGGGGACAGGGCCCCCGTGCCCGCCGGGCGCTACCTTTCCCCAGGAACTCCTCGAACAAGACGTGGGGGCAACGACAGATGCAGGGACATGGGGACACGGGGACACAGGGGACAAGTGGGGACAGGGCCCCCGTGCCCGCCGGGCGCTACCTTTCCCCAGGAACTCCTCGAACAAGGCCCCCATGTCGGGGTCGATGACAGACTCCGGCGCGTCCCCGGTCTCGGCGCTCAGCCGCGCGCGCGGAACATGGCTGGGCCTGTGCGAGAGAGAAGGGAGCGTGTGGGTGACGTGGGTGGGAGATCCCCACTAACAAACCCTGTTTCCCGGTTGCCAACAGGGTCCTGGTTGTCAGTAGGCTCCAGAGTGAATGCCCTCAGAAGGTTGCCTGCGTGGGACCCAGCTTGTCCTCGTCCCCAGTGACACCTGTGAATCCCATCCTGTGTCCTCGGGGTTGTGAGTCCCCCCCACTAACACTCCCTCTCTCCCAATTGGTTGCCAATAGGGTCCTGGTGTCAGCAGGCTCCAGAGTGAACGCCCTCAGAACATTGCCTGCATGCGACCCAGCTTGTCCTTGTCCCCAGCAATACCTGCGAATCTCGTCCTGTGTCCTCAGGGTTGTGAGTCCCCCCCACTAACACTACCGCTGTACTGGTTGCCAACAGGGTCCTGGTTGTCAGTAGGCTCCAGAGTGAACACCCTCAGACTGTTGCCCGAGTGGGACCCAATTTGTCCTCGTCCCCAGCGATACCTGCGAATCTCGTCCTGTGTCCCCGGCGTTGTGTGTTGTCCCCCCCCGGTGACGGTGGCTTTTATAGGGTCCCCACGGTGCCCTGTGCCCTGTCCCCATGGCTCCACGAGCCCTGTCCCCGTCTTACCCATGTGCCTGGTCCCCGTGGTGCCCACATGCCCGGTCCCTGGGGTCCTGTACACCTGTCCCTGCTGTGCCCACGTGCCCTGTCCCCATGGCCCCATGTGCCCTGTCCCCACCGTCCCCAGTGCCCGGTCCCTGCTGTGCCACTGTGCCACGTTCCCACGATGTCCCTGTGCCCTGTCCCCAGTGTCCCCTGTTCCCTGTCCCCATGGTGCCCGTGTGTCCCATCCCCATGGCCCCATGAGCCCTGTCCCCAGTGTCCCCTGTGCCCGGTCCCCATGGTGCCCACATGCCTGCTCCCCGGGGCCATGCACCCCCTGTCCCTGCTGTGCCCACGTGCCCCGTCCCCACGTCCCCCGCGTGTCCCATCCCGATGTCCCCATGACCCCGTCCCCACGGTCCCACGTGGTGCCGGCGTCGCTCGGGGTGTGCCGGGCGGGAGGCGTCCGCC